AGATGTGCCCTTTTTTTTTGAGCACCTGCCCCTTTAGTGGTCTCTGCACGGCCCTGTTAGTTATGTTAAGCAGTTGTAAAGGAAATCACATAATGGCCGCCTCTCTCTTTCTGTACAATTCTGTCCGTTTCATACAAAGATATGTGAGTGTAACATTTTGATAAAACAAATTCCTACCATAAGGGTTGACTATAGCAGCTTTGATCTCCACAGAGCTCTGAGATGAAGGCCGACTGCATAAAAGCTTCCTGAGCAGAAAAGACAACCATCCTTTCATTGCAGACATTGTGCTATATTTTTCCCTTGTACAGTGTGGAACAAAAAAATTTAATATCGCATTTTGACTGAGAGCTCGTATATTCATTTATGCACATTGCAGTCTACCTGCTTGTATATTGTGTAAAAGTTGGTGTCCAGGCTGTAAAATAATAATAAAAAAAGCAAATGATAATACATTCATATGCCAGTTTGGAAAATGAAACTGGTTTATTTTAGACTAAAAAGGAATAGTGCCAGCAAAATTATGCGAGCTAATTTTGAAAGACAAGCAGAAAGAGACATAACGGAAACATCCTGTCGACTGCAGCTTATAAAGTAAGGTTTTATTATGATTGACATGAATATAACTGGAAGTCTTAAACCATTTTCATAAAACGTCCAGGAGAAGAAACCTTTACACAGCGATTTGCAAATAAAAATCACACTCCCCAAGCAATGCTTATTTTGCTAAATAGTATCAACAAAACTTTAATGCATTTAGTGGGATTTTATGTGATAGACCAACACACAGTGGTGTTGCTCTACCACTGTGCTCATTTTGCTGATGAAAAAGAAAAAAAATGGTTATAGTTTTTATCTTTTTCCAGGATCAACACTATATTACAACCAAATAAAAACTGCAAAGCAACTACAATTAAGATAAAAACTGTTGTAGTAGCAGCATGCACATAAATACTGATCAATAGATTTTAGATACACTTACAGTCAATGTTGAAATTTATCACCATTTTTGTGTGGGAATTAAATTTTCTTGCACTTGAATTTCTGCCTGCCTTGAGCCAAAGCATAGTGTTGTAAAAACAATGCTCTGCACCTCAAACTAAATATTTCAGATTGTGCAAGGTGGAACAGCTTGGATGTCTTGCAGCTGGACAGATGTAGTGGTAGCTAACAGTTTTCTCATGAGGTGCATTACAGTACTCCTATAAAAGTTCCTGCCATAAATATAAGAAAAGAAAAAAAAGATACCATTATAAGAAATATTTCTCTCTTTGGATGAATTAATCAGTTTAACAGATGAATATGCAAATCATCTGATGCTTGACAACTAAAAGTCTTAATATATCTGTCTAGTTGAGCGTCGTTGGATAAAATGAAGGAACTTTAATAAATAAACACATAACTTACATGCAGACGCAAAGGGATATATGACTGGGATCTGGTAGATATGCAAAAAGCAGGGAACCATGAGGTGACAAGAGAATCTAGCAGGGATAGAAAAAATTACTGGGGTGCTTGATGAGTAATAAGTGACAGGTGGCTGATTGAGGACACGGTGCAGCTGTGAGAGGAGACAGACCAGGCAGGCTGAGGGAAAGCTTAATATGATTTTTGCAAGAGGTACAGCGAACATTGCTTGTAGGTGTCGCCATGTTGAAATCCCAACTTCTTACCTGGAACGCTGCTACCTCAGGTCTGACATGAAACCCAGCTGTGAGATTCAGCTTGCGAGGAAACGGGAAGCTGAGGAGAATGTAAATAGTAGTCTTGGAAAATTGTTAAACTTCAAGAATAAACTAAATACAAAGGAATCAACTGATATATAGTGAGATCTAAGTTGGAAACAAATCAACAACAAGGAAAAATGCGAACAGGAAAAAAAAAAACACCCTCGAGATCATGACAATGTTGCAAGGAAAAGCAATTATATTCTCTTGCTGTGTCTCTGGCTATTTATCAGAAATTTATTGAGACAACTGGGCATTGCTGAAAGTCCCTCTTGCACAGTTTCTCCTAAGGAACAGTGTTGTACACAAACTGCTGACAGGCAACACCAGTAACCACTGCGCCTTGTCTCAGGGGTGCCTCAGTTTGATCACCAGCTGTATTCTGCATCGATCTATTTTAGCCATGGACAGAGAAAGCCCATGCGCATTGCTAATTAAATTGCAAATTGGGGCTTCATTGACAGTGAGCGATGGCTTTACCGATGCTCCAAATTTAACGGGGAATATTTTTTGCCGGTTGTACAAATCCGCCGCTGCTTGCAACTGTGTTTTATTTTGCAGGGACACAACATCTTTGCCAACCTCAGCTCTAAAGAGTACAGCAACATGATGCAACTATTGAAACAGGCCATTCTCTCCACAGACCTTACTTTGCACTTTGAGTAAGTGGCCTTCTCAGAGCTGATCCTCTTTACAGCTAGATTTAAATATCTTTGGACAGATTGGATATGTGTTTTTATTACTTAGCACTGTCTTATAAAGCACACTGTTTTATAGTTTAAATTATATCCATGTTTCTTGTATCTCTCTCTATTTTCTGCATGATTTGTCCGTCTTATGACTATCTCTTTCATGTAAAAAGGCGCAGAACCAAGTTCTTTGAGCATGTTTTGTCAGGAGAATTCAGCTGGGCAGTGGAAGAACACAGAGAAGTCCTCAGGTTTGTAATAAATTTGTAATAAATAAAGATACTAAAGCTCTAAAGAACAAAAATGAGATAAAAATGTATTTTGTCTCTGATCCCTGCCTAATCAACAGATCCATGCTGATGACTGCATGTGATTTGGGCGCTGTCACTCGTCCTTGGGAGGTATCAAAGCAGGTTTGAGTCGCCTGTGCATGCTGGGATTTCTTATTTCCTAATTGTGATCTGGACAAAAAAAAAATGCAATCATGTTTTTTTTAGTTTATGTACGTATTTAAAAGAAGTTCTCATGAGAGACTTGTGCTTTAAGGGTGAGGTAAATTTAAGCTGTCGACAAAATCCATACTGAGCAGAGGGAATTAAAAGAAATAAATATTTTTATTTCTTTACCTTTTCTTCCAAGTCCCAGGGAAAAGCATGCAAGGTTCCTAAAACTTCTTAATAAACTCTCATTAGGTTAGTTTAGTTTGCTGGGATGGTGCCACAGCCCGGTCGTTTCTCTAATCCACTTAGCGTGCTAATCTGCTTACTGTTGGTCAGACACGGAGAAGTGTTGGATTTACTGGTGAATCATAAATAAGCTTCTAGCCTGGTCCTTGTTTATACCTCCTGTTTGACACTGATGTAATCTAACAACAAAAGTCCAAAAAATAGGACAAAATCTAACAAGAAGTGATGTGTGTATACATGAAAAGAAAAAAAACACTGTAAAAAGAGACCATTAAAGCTAATTTCAGAAATCAAAGAACAATATTCACAACAAAATTAAACGTTTGAATTTTAATTCATGCATAAATCTAAAGGTCTAACCTTGATTCTTCCAAACATGAAGCTCGATGAATCCTTATTTAACTTCTTTAATCCTCTCAGTTCGTGTTTATGTAAAAACTTGTGAAGTCACACTGGTATACCAGCGGTTTTAAGTTGATGTTATGCTGTGTTGGTTCCTGTATTATTCCTGGAAATCCTGGTTGATTTCTTTTCAACTGAAAAAATTGCAGTTTGCATCAGATGATGACAGTTGATGCTAGCACTGATTTTTGGAGAAGCCCCAACATAAACTCTGTTAAAATGCATCAACTATGCCAAAAAGAGGCATGCACCAGGAAATGAACCAGTTTAAATGAGCTCTACTAATTAGAGTGATCATATATTTAGCCAGAATTATGCCTGAAGCTCATTGCTGCATGCACTCCACCAAAAATCAATGCCTTTTATGAGCACATTTTTGTTAAAACCTGTAGTCTTAGAGGTCCAAGGTGTTATGCGTTGTTAAATATTAAATTCAGCGTTGTTTCCAGAAATATCTTGTTGGTGGAATATATCACAGCTTAGACGTAAGCCAGACTTTTGGATCAGTTGTTGTGAGTCTTAGTTTCTTCCCTAAGAGCAGCACAACAACATGCAACAACAACAAAGACCAAACAGCGACAAAAGAGATGAATCATTTTATAGTAAATTTAAATACACACCCTCCTTAAACGCTGCATAATGCATGAGTAAAATAATGATTGTTTCCACTGGTGTCTGCAGGTTGCCGAGTTGGTAACAAGCGAGTTCTTTGAACAAGGTGACAGGGAGCGGTCGGAGCTGAAGCTAACACCAGCAGTGAGTGTGAAACATTTCAAAGTCTTTCCTGTCACTCTGATGTTCCGAGTTAAAAACATTCAGGAGGAAATGGTTCTGACGAGGGTTCTGGTTGTGGGTGACAGAGTTGTTGCTCCCCTGCAGGCCATCTTTGACCGTAATCGCAAAGACGAGCTGCCTGCCTTACAGCTCGAATGGATTGATGGGATCTGCAGGCCACTTTATCAGGTATGTCGGCCACATCTGGACACAGAAATGTTCAAATCTCAGGTGGTCTGGACTTTGACTAGGCCACTGCAACACATAACCATGCTTTGATCTAAAATTTTACATTGTATCTTTCTCTCTGTGTTTTGGTGCTGGATGGGTCTTTAGCTGTTTCTATGCATTTTTTCTAGGTTTGTCTTTTCAGATTTTTATTTGCAATAAATCATTAAAACCACGAATCCCTTTCCTTCCCTGTTCACACTTCTACATTATGTTGCTCTACACATCATGAAATCCCAATAAAATACATTGAAATTATTCATTTTGAAAGCTCAAGACATTTACGTCAATAAAAACAATGTGGGCTTCATTTTAAAATGTAAGTGCAATAATAAAAGCGCATGCAAATCTGTAGATGACCTCAACTGTTTGGTGTCTCTCTCAGGCGCTGCTGAAGCTGAACAGGAAGTTAAAGCCGATGGTGGATGGAATAAATGGGAACAGAAAGAAGTGGCAGGAACTCTGCTTGTCCGACCAACAGACAAGAAGAGCCTCGGTCTCCAGCCAGAATACTGACCCGGGTCAGAATACCGAGTTCAGTGACGACGCAGAAACCAGCGATTTTCTAGAGAAAGCAGGGAAAACTGCCCAGATTAAAAATGCAGAGTTTGGGTCAAAATCTGATTGCCGAGAGGTTTTGAGGTACAGAGCAAACAAAGAGACCTGTCACGACACAGGAAACAACAAAACGGTCCCTGGAAGAAGTAAAGCAGGGAGGTTGTAATAAATAACATAAAATTTTCTGCTATCTTCTAACACAGGCGTCCCCCTGAACTGATAGGGTGAAATAAAATGCAGAGTTCATCAGCGGAGCCTGCTGCTGCGTCACTGTGTTAACCTCAGGAACAATGGGATGAACCCCATTTGATCATAAGTCTATTTAAAGGGCAGTGTTCTTACAAAAGAAGGGATTTCATCACTTCACTAAGAAGAGTCCTGAAGTTGTATGATTTGTAAAAACTCTCTCCTGATCAAAAACCTTTAAAACCATCAAAAGAAATCACTGTGAACTGTCACACAAAGCAAACTGCACACCAATCTGCATCCCTGGTAAAGAGGTTTTCAAAGACATGGATCTTTCACTGCAGCAGCATAAATTAACACAGGAAGTTTAGGAAAAATACAGTATTAACTGCAGAACTCCCATGTTCAGTTTTAATCATTTTTGTACCATCAAATGTACCACAATAATTTCTTTACCCTATGCTGTCAACACTACAGTCTCTAGATCATCGCGAGTCCCCGGTCCTTTCTGATGCTGTCTTCTCGTCTCCTCACCCCACAGTGTGACCTTTTAGATGTTGATTTGGTCATTTGGTTTGCATATTTATTCTGCTAAAAGATGCAGTGATGGCCCATTTTCAGTTTATTGGTAAAGGCAACTGGATGTTTACTTAAAACGCCCTGGGCTTTAATAAATTCATCATGCCATGCATGCTAACAAGGTTTCCAGGGAGTTTGGAAGAGGAACATACCACATTGCTGTCAATGCAGTATGACACCACTGTATGATTAATGCAATGACCCAAAAAGATGACTTTGATTTAATTATTTTTATGAATCTTTACCAGGGTATGTCAGCAAGTGTGGAGGGCTCTGTAAATCCTGTCGTAAATGTAGACTGAACCATGATCATGGTCATGAATGTCATATCTGGGCTGTATTGCTTTAGTTAAAAAAAAATATTTGCCTGCATGATCTTACAGTATTGTTCTTTGACAGCCGGCTGGTTCACAGAGTTGCATGTGATCATTCTTGCCTTGCAGCATAAATTCTCTGTAGATCAGTGAATCAAAATTGTGTTGACTGCTTGTGCATCACCTTTAAATTTTCCTCAAAACGTCAAGACAGGAAAATTCAAATGATTCTGAGACGCATTTTGAGATTGTACAAAATATATGAAATAATTTATTTGGAGCAAGCGATGTTTTCTGTTTTTGATTTCAGTTCAATATTTAAACTGCTGCTGTTTTCCCGAGTCTCGCTCTGACACTTTCCGTCAGAAGATTTCTGTGATGCTTAAGTAAAACAATTCTTCTGTTTTATTTGTATGTAGAGTATATCTTTGTTTGCGAATGCATGCCGGTTACGTTGTTACTGCATGTTCGATGTCATCTTGATGCCTTTGATTGCCACAAGAGATTTGCTTTGCATGCAGTCATACTGGTATTGTGTGTTCTGATATCTTATAGTGTTGCTGCTCTGTTGTTGTTGGCAAGAACAGCCTGAAATGTCTACTTTGAGCTGCAACCTTTATCCAAATTATAAACTAGTGAGTTTTCATATGCTGGATTTATAACAACTCCTTTAAAAATAGCTTCCTAAACAGGACAAGGATGTGATTTATGTAAGAGAAGAGGAAATCTGAATGACTGAAATGCCTTTGATTTGGAAACTGATGGATGGGGCTTAAAAAAAAGGAAAGCCAAGATGTGATAATTGATTTTATTTTTTGTATAAAACAGGTCTCAGTAGAGTTTATGTTCAAAACTGTGACAATTATGCTGATACCCACAGCAATCTGAATCAGGGCTTGAAATGAAAGTGTCATGTAATTCTCTAAATCTAAAGGTGGGATGGTGCCTTGAAGTGTAATACCAATCATGTCCACAAGTGGTTGGCAATTTTTTTTTTTTTTAATAAACAATGTCATTTAAAATGCATTGAGTTATATAATTTAATGCCAAAGTAAATACATTTTTCTTTGAGCTTAGTTGTTATATTAACTGAGTTCACTCCTACTTATGAGTAAGCTAGTGGACCAAATGGCTATTTAAAAAAATAAAGAGACGGCAGATCTGGAAGGTTGTGCTGGGGTGATGACCAGATTGATTGTCACCTTAACATCAGGAAGTTAATTTACCTTAAAAGTACGTCATGACTGTTGTCATTATTGCTGGCATTTGCAATGTATCTTCCACGTACAACCTTTCCTGAGAATTTGACTTGATTAGGTTTTAGTTAACTGTACTATGTTTGTACTGTTAATAATTTGGTATACTGGACTGCTGATGACTGAGCTGATGCATTATCCAGTATTTTATGTAAGTAAATGCTTATTTTCTTAAGGTTTCCCATTGTTATGCTCTTTATTTACAATTCATGTCACTGAGATGATGCCATCAACAGTTCCTTTTCATTCCCCCATTGTCTTAAGTAGCAACTAAATACTGACATGATTAAAATTTATACCACACATAACGTTTTCCATGTTGACCAAAGAGATTGTACACAAGTGGTCTCTATTTACAGATGCTATTTAAGGTACCACTTTGCCTCCTTTTCCATCTTCATTGTCGAAGCTCAATAAAACGTGGTGCAGCTTGTGGCTGCAATATAATAATGTAACAAATTTCAACGAGTGTTAATACTTTGGCAAGTCACTGTATCAGATCCTGTTTGCATTTCTGAGGGTCTGTGTCTCTGCATTTGCATCATCAGCTTTGAACTGAACAGAGAGCATTAGTACTGTGTTTTGTACTGTGTCTTTATGGAGAGCACGCTTAAAAAAAGGTTAATTAGCACTTTGGAAAACATCTCATTAAGTGAAATGGGTTTGTCAGAAAGTAAAAAAAAAACAGTCATTCTTTTGATACGTTCATCTACGTAGCATCATAGCATCCACGCAGGCAGCATATTGTGCTGAGACCCTTTACATATTCATACTGTCTCTTTTCGAGCCCGTTCCTCATCTGTGGATACTGTTTGATGTTGGTTTTAATAAGACGGTGAGGTGAGGCAACAGCAGCAGTGAAAATGTGCGAAACTCAATGCAGCTCAGTGTTTGCGCAGCCGCCAGCTCCCGAGCTCCAGCCAGAGTCGGGCCTTAATCTATAATTTAACACGGATTGAGTTTATTCTCCTCAGGGTCGATGATCAGGGGAGAGTCGGATGGAGAGAGGAGGGAGAGCCTTCCAACCTCGTTTCTGATACAGAACCTGGCTCTGCCACGGTGTTTGATCTCTCTCTCTAACTCTCTCTCCGTTCCTCTCCTCTGTTATTTTTCAGTTTTATCTGCCTCTCACAGACACAGAATATCTGACTTTTAGTCCTCTCCTTGCTGCCATACTGTACTTTATGTACAAACTCTGTAAAAAACACAAACCATGGTCCATGGGTGAAGAACAAACACCCTGAGGAGTCTGGTAATGTCATACAAAGCATTCATACATCCACTTTGTGCCCCGACTCACATCTCGTGAGGTTGAAAATAATCATTAAATGAAAACGAATTACCATGAAGACTTTAAATACCGTACAGAAACAGAAGTGAAATTTTTCTGCGCTGCTCTAAATGTTCCTCAGCCATCTAGAAGAGTTCTTAGAAACTAGACTTTCTGCAGTAGACCATAAATATTAACACACACTCTCAAAAGTAATGTTCCAGATATAGATTAGCCTTGTTCGTCTAATGATTATTTAGCCCATGTTGGTCATTTAGTTTCCACGTGTAGGCCCTTGGTTTAGTTATGAAAAATAACCCTGCTGTGTGTTGAAATGATGGCCTCGAGCAATGCATAATAAATCAGCACATTGGTAAAATTTAATCTAAAATTACCCATGCAGTACGCTTAGTGCAATTAGAACAAATCCAGCAATTAATCCTAGTGAAAGGATTTGCATTGTTTTTGATTTGCATTGTATTTTTGTTCAGAATGCGTTGTAAAACGCATTCTGTTTTACAAACAGAATGCGTTTGTAAAACGCATTCTGTTGCAGCAGAATGCGTTTTACAAAGTCTCCGAAACATAGGGATGCTTTTCAGACGGCAGAACGTGGGGCTGAAAAAAAAAGCAAAATGTTCAACATCCATGGTTTTTCTTTAAAGAAAATAAACAATTTGAACTGGTGCAGTAATGTACAATAATCCAACAGAGGAATTCTGGATGCATAAACTAGTATTTTTCAGTTTCAGCATTTGGTCTTTTTGAGTTCACAGCTGCCATGAATTAAAGATAATCTGTTTAACCTGGAATGAGGTTAAACTAGCCATGCCGTGGTGACACTCATTAAATGAATGAATGAATGAATAAATAAATAAATAAATAAATAAATAAATAAATAAATAAATAGCGACTACGTTCTTACTACCTAATATAAGTCTTTCTCTTAATATAATCTCATAATGAATTCTCTACATGCACAAACTGTAATTGTTAATTAAGTGTTTTAAACACCAGTTTAGAATAGTTAATCTACATTTTATCTGTTATTGCTGATGTAAAAATTGCAATGCCACAAGGGAATCTACATGTCTGGCCTTACAGTTGCTACATTTTTCTTTTTTTTTTCCAAATCTGGTCAACATTTACTACACATTAAGTCGCCTTTTCTTATACAGCCTCAACAGTGAGAGATTAAAAATAGATATGTTCTAATTATAGCTCAAGTGTCACAAAGATAAAGAACAATGCCACCACTGGGACCCAGATGTTCTTTTCTTTCTTTGTTTTTCTGTAGAGCCAATATTTAATTGAAACTGTTGAAGACATGAAGGACACCTTGTCAACACGGAGTGTGGTGAGTTGTAGTCTTATGTTTTATTGCAGACTTTTTTTTTTTTTTTTAGCTCTTAAGTGCTGAAATGCAACCACTGTCCTCCTAAAAGCAAACCTTTGAACCGTTCCTACTCATCATCTCTCCTTTCTCTCTCTCTGACTTTGGGTCATCAGATAAGCTGTCCACAGCAGATTCTTGTAGTTTATAATCCTGACAGATACATTAGTGTGTTTAAAATCCGACACACCCGCAGAGAGGCTTGTAGTCCAGCTCTGGATGAATGAGGGCAGAACACAATGACAGATGTCTGAAACAAGTCTGAAAAGGATAAGCATATAAATCTTCTTCCTGCTGTCCTCCCTTGACATTTCAACGTGAATCCCGTCTGAGGAAAGGATCTTCCCATGTATGAAATTCTTATTATCGCTTAATGAAGATTCCTAGTTTTCATGCTTTCTCTCTGTCAGATGTGCCAGCAGTTATGCTGTGCATTGTTAAAAAACAATTATTTCTAAATATGGATATTACTCCTGATGAATCGCTTGATTTTTATTTAAAAAAAAAAACAATCTTGATGTGAGCTTATACTATTGCAATACCACACTTATTTTATAACGCCGCTGTAACAGGAGTGTTAACTAATTTTTACATATCTGTGTACCATACAGGTCAAGCTGAAGCTTAAGTCAAAAAAAAAAAGCAACATGACATCAGCATCAACAAGCATGTCATAGAGAGAGTTCATGTGAATAGAAAACTATCTTGTGATTTTTTTTCTCTCCCCAAGGAACCATGCAGGGAGGATAAGAGGATCAGACACTGAACTGAAGAATGCAGGAGGCATAAATGTTGTTGAAAAGTGATTACTGGTACAAGAAGTCCTGGTCATGTTTCTAACATCAGGCAAAACCTTTCTTAAATGTTCTAAATATTATCAAAGAAGGGTTGTAAAAAGAAACAAATGTTGTGCTCCATCGAAAATATATCTTAATCTGTGTACACAAACTAAATGAACGTCCTTGAATCATCGCAGAGAGCACTGAGCGAACTCATGGAGATGAAATCTTCTAACGGTTCAGCAGGGTTTGAACACCATGTTTCGCTTAGTTTTGCTTCCCTCAAGTGGTGAATTGGAGCATCGACTTTATCAGCAGTGAAGCTGTTGCAAAAAATGTGACGAAGACAACAAAAAGAAGCAAATTGCAAATATGAATTTCAGTCAATTAAACAATAGTCTGGCTCTCCAAAGAGACAAAGTAAAGGTGTGAGAATGAGTGTTGTTGAGCAATGCAAGGAAAAAAACAAAACAAAACAAAACAAAACAAAAAAACTAAAGAAGGTGAACCCATAACTCTGCTGACAGCTGGGAATGCCCCTCGCTGATGGTAGACTGGAGCTGGATCCCCTCCGTGAAAAAGCCTTTGGTTGTTGGCAGGAACTCCTCCGGTTTAGTCTGAATGGCTGACAGCTCTGTTGACGTGATGGACGGGCGGCTGTTTCACCCCCCTGATAGAAACAAGCCCCTGATGGGTAGCTGCAGCCTCTTGAGGAGCAGGACCCCTGCCACTCAGCTTCTGACCCCTCTCTGAGCAGATGGAAGCAGACTCCACATAAGTCATGTAAAAGCAAAAATCACGCAAGTTAAGGTTTGAATCCAGATCCAAATTATGAACCGTAATTGATGCACTTTCCACATAGCCCCATTAATTTCTCTTTTATTATGTCACCCAGCAGAGAGAATAATGTAACAATCGGTCTTTTCTTTTATACTTTTAATCACTTACACAGATTTTAGAACTATTTGATAAAACGTTACTTTAGTTTTGTTTTACTTTTCGCATTTATGTGAATATAAGTCGGTTTTAATCCAAGGGGAATCAATATTTTTATTTTTATTATTTTTAAGAAATTATCGCTCTCCATTTGCCCTGCAGAAACTCAGATTGGATCCGCCACACGGGGGCGCCCATCCGCGCTGAGGGGGCATGCAATAATGCAATAAAAACACATGCAAAAATCCCATTTAACATTTTTGGACAATCTAATAATAAACAACATTTCGAACACAAGGTGTGTGTGTGCCTGAAAGCAGCAGGTTAATGTGGGGCAATGAATAACATTGCAGTGTTATTCATTGTACTACATTTCTTAATTCCTTCACAAAAACCATCCATCCATAAATAGATAATTAATTTAAAATAAAAGTTCAGGGGAAACACCTTACAGTGTGGCACATTTGTTGCTCTATTCAACATTTTAAATGTGGCGATAATAAATTGCAGGGCCACGTTCTGTGATGGAGAGCACCACTACAGAACTCCCCAATCTTAAATCCTGAGCATTTTTGTTTTTTTTATGAGAAAATACACACACACACACACACACACACACAAAAGCCCCACAAGAGTGAGTGCAGAAGTTTTTATGTAATTCAGCTCTCAAGCTCACTTGGGGAATAATATTTATCTTTTATTCCTCCCTGATTCACAGACGCAGAGTTGGAATAAATCAGCTCAACTCTAATTGTTTACTCTGACTTAAAGGTAGCCCTGAGCTCTTCACCATGAATTA